TTCTAAGTTCAGAAAAAAAATTATCTAACAGGAGGTGTGGCAAGAATCCATGTTTTGAGGGTTCTTGATACCGAAAAATCGATTAACTGCGAAGCATCCGACCATTCGTTTGCGAACAAAGCCAGCGGCTAAACCGTTGAGCCGATTTTCTGCATAATTGATATTCCCCAATCGACCTAGCTGATGTCGCGGCCCATTGAATTGAAACATTGTGGCGTGTTCTTTACATGAAGACTGAGGGTCATTTTCAAATTTTTCTAAAAAAAATGGTTCCAAAGTTTTTGATTAAATTTTATTTTTAGATAAGTGCAGATCTCATGTTTGTTGAAAACCCTAATTGTTCGAAATTTTGAAAAGTTCAAAACTCTCTACAATTATTAAGATAAACATTTCTTTAGTAATTAAATGTTGTCATCAAAACAGATCTTCAAATAATGTCGTGTTCAGTTTTTGAAAATATAAGATTTTTTTTCCAAATTTTGTTTCAAACAATTTTTATTTCATTAAACCATTTTTGTTAAAAACGTCACAAAATGTTTTGATTAAATGTTGACGTTAGAGTACGCTTAAGAGAATGGTGCAGGCCTCATTTTCATTGAAACCCCAAGTAGATAATATTTTGGACATAAGGTAATAAATTCTTGACATTCGAAAGCAAGGTAAATTCATGGTTACCACCTCATAATGAGCCAATTGTAGCAAAATAATAAATAAATTCACCGTGAATTAATGACCGACTTAAATGACTCTTTTTCACTGCGTACTTACCTATGCAAATACGAGGGCCCACTCCAAAAGGCATGTAGGTGAACGGCTTGATATTGTGCTTATTCTCGTCGTTGAATCTCTCAGGGTCAAACTTTTCGGGTTCTGGCCAATACTGGGGGTCGTGATGAATTCCTGAGATGGGAATCGATATGACATCGCCCTTACGCACAGTTATGGATGGAGAATTAGGCCCAGCAGGTAGCAGAATGTCTTTGCCGCAAATTCGATCAGTCGCCACTGCAGGGGTATACATTCGTAGCGACTCTGGAAAATGAAGGATATACAGTTATTACCTCAATTCCCAGTAACTTCTCAGTTCTAGTTCGTTATTCGAATTTCGGAATGTAATTAAGAAGGTTATTTTCACGAATTATATTTCATGTAATCTTGCATGTTCAATTTACATAAATTGTTGTTTAGAACTTTAGAGAGTTACTCTTACTGCAACAAGTGAAATCCAAGTTGTTATACTTAACTTGTCTGTTATACATCTTGGCAGGAGCACTCAGGAGACAACAAGAGAAAACCTAGGTCCTGAGGTAGTTGATGTACGGGGGCCACTAATTTCAAACAAAAAATTACCTCCTTCCTCAGTTCAGAAACAGAATTTATTTCTCTATCCATCAGAAATAACGTAAAGCGTTAAATTTGGATGATAGATTAATACTTTTTAATAAAATTACTTTTGAATGTAAAAAATGCAGCCTCAAATAAATGGGGGCTTGGGGCAATTTGCTTCTCTCGCATTTTCAGCTGCAGGTTAAAAACAAACTCTTGATTTTCGTGAATCAGAATTTTATTTCCCTTGTCCCCTCTACGGTCATCTATTATCAGAAATTCTGTTCGGGGCTCGTTGGCACCTTTCAGTTGAGTTTGGTTAGCACTAATTCAAACAGTCCTTTCCTCTTCCTCTCAACCATCTCCACTAAATAAAACAATTTTTCTACTGTTTTTCTTTATAACTACGGTAAAAGACATCAGTAGCGTTCACAAATAACAATATATTCGCATTTTCTCAGTATTATTGGGCTACAGAAATAAATGTATGTGAAACTCAATGGGCAACTAGTGTACCCCTTCCTAAATAGATATAGTGTCTAAATAGAGCCAATTTTTAATTTGTTATATACTTTGATAATTTAATTACAAACTAATTTTCTTCCAGTGTAGGCCACTTAAATATTGCAACATTTCGGTGATGTCCTAATACTCGACTTGGTAACACCCATTCGATATTCTACCTTCTGAACGTGTCTGTGGACCAAAAAGTCAGAAAAAGTACCTTCGATGTTACATAATGCCAACGAAAACAATTCAAAATCAGTATTAATAAGATGTTTTGGCTTTCGTTAAACATAGAAGTAAATAAACTATCTGAGTTTTAATCTTCAACACTAGAAGACGTAATCTTCACGTTTTGAAAGTTTGATGCAAGTAGGAAGCCTTTTATTCATATTTTTCAAATTTTGTATTTGATGTAACTACTAGTGTCGTGTCTCCACTACGTACCATTTAATAAAAAAAAATATTATTTGACATTTCCAAAATCAGAAAATTGTCTTCTCCAAATGTACCATTCCATGGTATACCCAATTAGGCACTGTGCTATAGATCCGTATTTTGGCCCATTGCAAGACAAAGCAGTTTGGACTCTCCAGCCACTCGTGAGTTGACCTGAGCGCGCAGAAGATACGACGCTGACTATATACCGCATTTACGCAAATCGAATGCGCATCATTTTTGTCCAAATGTAGTACTCAAAATGGAGTTGCGTATTAGATTCGAAAGCAAATCCCTTCCGTGAGGAAAAATGATCATTCACGCTTGTAATTGTATTAAAAAAATCATTTTGAATGTGTACATTTCTTATTTCATGCTCATGTGACGTAGTGAATAAGAAATAAATTTCAATAACAAAAGAAAAATAATATATTCAAAGATGATGTACAAGTTACAATGAATTGCTAATATTAAAACACTCCGGCAACCTTTTCCTTTCAGAACACTGCTTTACCGCAGAAAACACAAGCCACGCGTGATGCGCGCTATCGGACCTCGGTCCCGTGACAATTACCGTCACATGGCCTGACGCCAAAATTTAACCCGGTCGTGGCGACCGTGTGCCTACAGCACGTGAGATTGTCTGGCCCTTACTCTCCGGACATCTCGCCCACACTCCTACACCCCTTGTACACACGTACAAGCTTCCCGATGCAAACTGAATGAGAACGCGGGCGCAGATGGCGCCGCGTTAAATAGTTGAGGCTGACACCCCTACCACTGTTCCATAGGTAGGCTCGCCGGCTGGCGCGAGACTCGCAGGTTTGGTTAACGCCCACACACAGGGTTCTCAGGTTGGCTGCCTGCTTCCGTAAACGAGGCTCGCCGGCAGCATCCTCGGAGTTTACAGCCTCCGGTATTTTTGGCTCTGCGGCACTACCTGAGTCAACCGCCCGAGCGCAAACTCCCGGATGTTCAGGCTCAACCCCTTCCTCCCCCGCAGCGTACTTTCACCGACCTAACGGTTCTGGCCCTTGTGTTAACGACGCCACACTCACTAATTTTCTTCTTTAACAATGTGTCACATGACATGGGGAAACTTCCAATTCTATAACCTGATATTTTATGTACTCTATAAATCTACTGTTGTGTTATATAAGTTTAAATAAAAAACAGTACCTATTATTCTATTATTGATGCGCATTACATTAAATTCCAACCCTTTTTTTCATAATTTTTAACTTCCAAGAGGTGCGGATTAGATTCGCGTAAACATACTATTATTGTACGTCGTACTGTAACCGCCACACAGCGCCTTCCAACGAGGCGGTGGGCTCTCAGGGGAAAAGAGTCCATTCCCTTCCGCGGTTCCTCTTAAGGCGGCTCCACACAATCTGTATTGCCCGATTTTCTTTAGAATGGGATGATTTGACAGTTAGTGTTGGCAACACAACTGATGATTCTGTGGTCGTTGTGTCCTTGAACTTATTAGACTCTCCTTCCTCTATTCGTTCGTTTGCAGTTGGCTAACTTGTAAATAGTTACGACGCTTCCTGGCTGTGATGTCCTCGTCCGACGAAAATATAGTGCGCCACGAGAAATAATTGAAATTAGGAAGTACAGAGCTGTGAGCTCTTCTGTAAAAATTCTTTCTTTTTATAAAAATTACATTGAATTTAGTGTTTATATGATAAGTATTATCTTTGTTTTAAAATCGAGGCTTGAATGTGAGATGCGTACTCGTGACAGTGCACGTGTTTACTTCTCTGAAATACACGTGATGTTCACTTGTTTCGCGAACTGTCACTTTATCCCATTCTTAGGAAAATCGTTCTATATTCGCGGAGTAGCGAGCGATCGCTTGCAGGAACGGATTGCTCGCTGTTTTGCGCCGAACAATGGGTGCTCTCCCGTCCATTGCGTTCGGTCTTTTGGAACCATCACAGGAAGGGAGCGTTCGCTGAACTCATCAGCTGCTTGGTATTGCACGAGCAGTCGCGCGCTGCTCGGCGAACGCCGAATGTGTGGCCTTTACAGTAAGGGCCCTTTGTACGTGGAGGACATGAAATGGGTAACTCTGTATTATCAACCGGTTATCTTTAGTTTTTTAAAGAGTTATCAGTCATTTAATTTCTAACGATGTATTTTTCTTTTTTGTAGCTTAAAGTTCACTTTAGCGTGAAATTTGAAACAAATGAAGTTACGAACTCATGTTCCAACAAGGTGAGAAACATTTTTATATAAAAAAGGTAAAAGACTGATTAAATTAAAGACTAATTTTTAAATTATTAATTTTGAAACTAACTCGACTGCTGTAGTAGCCAATGACAGCCTTTCTGCAAGAATAAATGGTGATAAACTTCTTTGCATTTATTTGTGAAAATAAAACATTGAAAACGATTCATTTTTGACATTAATTACTCCTCATCCACACGCCAGAAGTGTCCGAAATTACCTCATGCTAGGGTCAATCTACTCCAAGGCCTGTGCCATGAACGCATTTGTCGTGGACGACCTAGAATACAAGAATGACGCTGGTCCTTCATACAAATCATATCATATGCGGTTCATACTCCCAGGGATTGCCGCGTTGTTTTTCACGAATATACGACTTGCACAGCTGTAACATTTCTCTTATACCATAGAAATTTTCTGTCTTGTAATTGAACAGTCGTCTTATGTGGACGTCTTTTATTTTTTAAATCCCTAACTCAAAAGTTAAATAAACTTACCGTTAATGACTGCGTCCAGGTATTTCATTTTTTGTATAGTCTCGTATGTGGGTTTTCTTCCGCTTGCGTCCATTGCGTCGTCTATTTCCGCTTGCAAGAGCTTTTGCACCTCTTCGTTATGCGAAAGAGCGTATGAAGCAACACAGAGTGCCGTGGAAATGGTTTCAAATCCAGCAAAGAAGAAAATAATTGCTTGCGCTGATACATCATTGTCTTCAAGTTCTAAAACAAAAAAACAACAGGAAGCTTTAATGATTTTTACTACGGACAAAGGGACACCTACCAGACCTACACTTATATTATTAAATTTTTCTATATTATTTCATTTACTCAGTTTAATTGTTATTAATATTTTTGTAACAACCATTTGTGAACTCAAACAGTAGCTCATTACGAGTAATACTTATATTAAAATTATATTACAAAACAGCACGCATGCATCAACAACTTATACGTAACGTTTCCAAATAGTTTAAAATAAGGTAGTTCCATATAATCTGTACTGGAACTGCTGAAAACAAACATTTCTTCAACCGAGCTGACTTTCACTTATCGTCTCAGATAATTAAATCTTCCACCAATAAGAGAATGCAAAAATACACCCATTCTCTTTTTCCTTTTATGAAAAATTATCCTCGTATCTCTCTAACTAGTGAGAATTATGAAAAGTATTTTGGGGGGCACGTGAACCCGTAGAGTTCACTTCCTTGCCCTTCTCTACATCCAAGATATCCACTTTGAGATGCTGAATCTTTGTGTGAAAGGGTTTGAAGAGTAGGTATGTGAGGATGCGCGTGAACTCACTTGCTTTCGTGGCACCCATTTCCTAAGCCTCCATGGTGCAATTGAGTTCATCTCGTGTGTAAGTCAATGTAGTATTTCGTATCTTAGGCCTTCGCTGCGGCGTCTGTCTTCGCCTTGAGCTGCCCTATATTGAGTGTGAAAGGGTTTGAAGGGCAGATGCGGGCGTATGTAAACTTACTGGCTTTCCTGGTGCCCACTTCCTCGGCCTCCGACGCGTCTTCTTTCTCCGCCTTCAGCTGCCCTTCGCGCGCCTGCATGAGCAGCTGCAGCATGTCGGGACGGAAGATGCCCTTCTGCTGGCGCTCCTTGATTGTAGAATGCACCAGCGTGTCGAAAAACTCAGTCGCTTTGGCATCCAACACTCGCATTTTTAACACCTGCATCAAAATGAAAAGAAAGTGACGTTTTGATAAAATGAAAAATAGCTTCATTAAAATTTAATATTAGCCGAATTGCTTAACTACGCTCCGTGAACGTCATGGAGGTTAAGCAACTCGAGACACTGCGGGTTCTTCGATGGGTGGCAGTCCGGGACCCCTGGGATATAACGCCGCCGAGCCCCGGGGCAAGAGGATAATACGACTGACACGACTGATACGACTGACGATGACTAATTTAAGGGACGTTTATTGCGCGCTCGACACCAGTAAATGATTAGGATAATGTTGTTTCGAAAAAACGTAACTTTTTTTAATGTTAACATATGAAGGATTGCGTCAGAGATAAGTCACAAAAAGCCACAAAAGCATTACTTCTGTACTAGTGAATATTTTGAAAATGTAGCGAACATATTTCTAACTTTCACAATCATGCAGAGAACAATATTGGTTTAAACCTTCATTTGTCGCTGGATATCAGTTAACTTCAAGAATTCCGAGACATCTACTGGAAACCTACTTTACCAATAGGAAAAATAAAGATACCAAATAAAAAAAATAAGACGCAACACTTCATATTTAAGCATTTTTCAATTTTGGCGTCTAACCTCTAATGCACGATTACCAGCCCTCCTTGGGACAAATCCAGACGTAGCTCGTGCTTTTTTTTTAGTAGTTATTGACGGTTTGCCGCCAATAGATTTTTCGGTATCAAGGACCCACAAAACGTGGGGTCTGTCTACACCACGTGTTACTGGAATTTTTATCTATTTTTAGCAACTAGATTTATCCGCTTTTTCGTTACCAGGGCCCTGTAATATGAGTTTTTCTGCAGATAATTCGCAGTTGTTCTACAGCATTACGTATCTTTCTCTATACTGCATAAGCAGTAGCAAGAAAGTAAAAGGCAAAATATTTGCATGGATAACTTTTCACACTCGGGTAACTTTCTTCGTGAGACTGACGTACGTCAGTTCTTAGAAGAAATTTAAGATATATAAAAAAATACATATCATTCAAAAAATAGTATATAAATCATTAGAATAAAAAAAAATAATATAAAGAACTTTCAAGTTTCCCATATTTCCAAAATTTGTTTTTTACGGTCTCTCACAATTCTGGGGGTTACACTATTAGCAATGTGAAATGAATGAAATTTTAGAAACTAACAAAATATAAATTCTAAAACTTACGAATAAAATAAAAATATGAATGAATATTAATTTTATTTGCCATTAATTTAAGGTATTTTCGTTTTCAGGAAGTCTTTTGTAAATCCGTCACAGCGTATTTCATGTTTCCCTTCGCCGGTATACGCGCTATCAGTTACAAACCTCCATCAACTTTGGGACTAGCATGAATCCTAGAAACTTTAGAATTCCTTTAGCGTTGAAGGTGGTCAAGGCTTTTCCCATTTCGTAGAATTCGTTGTCAGGCTGCTTCAAAGAATCACAGCTCACTCCAAATGCAGCAGTAGCTATCACATCCGTGGCCATTCGGCTGAATAGATTCTTCATGTCAGTGGGAAGAGGCTTCTGCTGGGCACCTGCACAGAGGAGAATGCTAAGAATATTCGCAGATGGAATCGGTGATCATTTCGCAATTAGCAAATCATGATTTTTAAGATATGAAACAAGCTTAAAATACTGTAAAGCAAAAGTTTCACGATTTTTTCTCTCGATTTGTTTATCCTCCATTATAGGCAGTTGTACACACAGACAATAAATTAATCAGCAGAAACATTATGAAATAAATAGTCAAAGTTAAGAAGAAGATGACAAACTAATTATAAATTATTTTCTATTAGTTCCTACATAAAATGTAATGGCACTAATCACACTGCGATTTTCGCATGTTGTCAAACTCTTATCCACAGCCTTCCTTCTCATATGTCAACTTCGAAATACAAATTTTGATTCTAATATAAGAGCTGAACACATCGAACACATCGTTCTGCATTCCCCACTCATTTACTGAATTGTTATTATTTCTACATATTAACACTGCAATCATCTACATGGCGTCTTTTCTCTGAAAATTACAGCGGTAAGGACTTCGAGCCCAACGTTGTTCGGGTATGTCCATTACGAAGGACATTATAGGAGACTGTTTTGGCCATGCACTGTATATCCTTCAAATAAAATTCCCGCATCTACACTCCCACACCGGTTTCCTGAAGGTAAGGTCTCACGCTCCAAAAAATAAAAACCGAAGTATACGTAATAATAGAACCTTCAGTGCAGTCAACACGTGCGTATTACATAACATCTACACTGGTGAGGCGCTCCGTTGTAAAACCGCTCGGCTTCTTTGATCCAACAATATGATTCTGTCGGATCTTATGTGGAAAACGCTGATTTCTGAGAACTTGGCGACAAATCCCTGTGCTGCCTGTGTGGTGCCGGGGAGGTGGCGCGATCGTACGGTCATCTTTAAAAGCAGTTCAAAAATTTGTTCCAAAGAGTTTCATTGGAAAAATCAATTCCCTTCCCCTTTGGAAGGTGTCTGTCGGTTTGGGGGGGGAATACTATCTCCAAGGCGCGAAGTTTGAAATATATGCACTTTGCTCTTAATTAGGTACAAAGGATTATCAAAAATGATTGAATTCCAAGAACGGCGCCACATTTGAATTAATTTCGCCGCGTATGACAAAAATACTTTCATTTTATTTTGTCAGTTTCATGTAACGTAGATAAAGAGTATCAAATTGTTAACACCATTTACGTAATTTGAAGATCAATAGAAATAGATTTAACATTACCAAAAATTAGAAACACATTGTATGAAATATTCAGAAAACATTTGTTGTGTTATGTTGAAGAAGTGCATTTACACTTAGTGTATTTTAATCTCACCTTCGGGGCTCTTTAAGTATTCCTGTCGGAGATGCTGAGCCATCCGATCTGCACAGTCCGAAATCAGCGGGAACATGGCCTTCATTTTGCTGGTGGTGAATGCGGGACTCAGCGTTGCTCTCATGTCCCTCCAAGGCTGATCTAAACACATTCATTCAGGTTGGTTGATTGATTGGTGATTCTGCGCGCGTTTACAGCTAAGGTCATTAGTCTCGTTGGTTTAGTTATCATGGCTGTTGTATCGCTGGAGATGTCAGTGATATTCCCCGCTGGTTGGCAAGATCCTGTGCCGACCTATGTTGACTTGCGGGGATTTTCCTTAGCCAGGTATCTCCTATCAGCGTGGCACTGCCTCAGCCGAGACAAGCTCTCATCTCCCGACAAGTGTGATAATGTAGTGCATGTAAGTGTAAGGGGTGAGGATCGAACAAATAAGGGGAAGGAAAGATCGCGTGCGGTCTGTGACCCGTATGCCAGAGTACTGCTCCTGCAAATTATATCCCTGAACATTTTTGTATGAAAGTTCACGCCAACAGATTCGCCGACAGGCGCTTAAGAAAACAATAAGTTGAATAAGGTCGTGAGTAAAATGTTCAACTATTTTCTCGTTACACGTGTGTAAAGAGAAATAATATTTCTGGACAGATATAAGAACATCCGTGCTTACCTTTAAGATTGACCAAATTCCTCCCAAAAACTGGGTCCGCTTTCTCACTTTGAATGGTTCTATGATTCATGAAGAAATCAAATTCTTTCACAGCAACAATTTTCAACAGTTCTGGATCACGAATCATGAACGTCGGTTTAGTAAATTCGAACATTCCGTACACTGGGTGGCCATCACCGTCATTGTAGCTATCTCTGATGAGGTCTTGGAAAGACTGTAGTCCAAGAAATGCCGATGAATTGTCGCCCAGGAACGGCCATTTCGGTTGAGTGGACGCGATTCCTTGCTTTCGGAAATAGTCGTAGTTCCACGTTCCCGCGATGTACACAAGCAGCAGAAGCCCTGAGAGAAGAAGGGCCCAATCGACCAGAGTGGCGTTGGTCACCGCAGTTAACGCCGCCTGCCACATCCTGAAAAATAGCAGAACATTAAACGTTCAAAAAGAAAAGCATTATACTAATTACGTAAAAAAATATTTATTTCAGATTTTTTAATTGCTTTTATGATTTGAATATAATGTATGAAATTACTAGGCTTCTCAGTTTTATCTATAATATATTTGTATTTACGTTTATTTTTTATTCTCTATTGTTCGCGTTTATATTAATTAATAATAAATAACTTCCCATTCAGAAACTTTTTGAAATCTTTTTCGGGCCCTTTTTGTTCATATCTATTACGTCTAGCTCCTATATCTGTCTCCCTGTCGAACCTTCATGTTCAGCAGTGTTACTGTATTTTTTCTAGTACTTCAGTGTCTTTGAACCGCTTAATTTTAAATGCAAAACATTGATTTAGCAGAAGAAATAATTTGTAGATTGTAGTATCCTTGAACGTGTTTCTTTACACTCCGTATATCAGAAATTCATATTCAAAACGAGTAAATTTTGCGTTATTTGGGATTGAAACGTAGGATTTTCTTCTCAAAAATCGTTCCAAACATTTTCTTTAAATTTTCTTCACTTATGCAATGAGAGGGTACAAAATATGGTGCTATTCCCATTTTCGGGTATTGCTGAGTTTTTTAAAATTAAAAAACAAACAAAAAAACTACGAAATCGAAGATGAGAGGTTTTCGGTTCAGACAAACTCTGTTGTAAAAAATTAGTTCTTCAAAAAAGATAGTGTAAAATGATTTGAAAATATGAGTAGTTTCTACGTATTTTGCGATTGAAATTCACAAAAAAGTCTCAAAAACTGCTCAAAATTTTTTCTTTAAATTTTCTCCACATATGTAATAAGGAACGGTAAGAATTGTGGCGCTAGTCTCATTTTCGGTATTTGCTCGTTTTTATCGAAAAAAAGTATTCAGAACTACAAAATTGAAGATAAGAGATTTTTGCCTCAGACAAAGTCTGTTGTACACAATAAGCTCTTTAAAAAAGATGAGGTACATGTTTTGAAAAAATAAGTAGTTTATGAGTAATTTCTGCTTGAAATTAATGAAATATATAGGTTTCACAACAATTACGGGCCAC